CATCACCCTTCATAGCCACAATCACCTTCTTTTTTTTTTGCCATAAACCCACAAATCATCACCCAGCATCCAATGAATCAGATTCATTCATATTATTTTTAGTTTATTAATAATTTTCAAACTTCACTACCACTACTAAACTCAAAATAATGTGCCCAGATCTGCCGTTCTTCCCCCCAATTCGCACAAGTGGGTATTGTCTTATTGGGGAGGTTAGTTATCTTTTTGGGACTCACCAATTAGTAGTAGTGAAGGACAATTAAAATCTTTTTTGGAAATTGATTGAACGAAAGAAAAAATATCCTTCAATGAAGGAAAGATTGTCTTTTGATTAGCTAGGATGATGATGATGACGGTGATGATTTGTGGTTGTAATTGTAATAAGTATTTAGTATTAATTGTAAGGGCATCTATGTCTCAATACATTGAATGTTATATTGACATCAGGCCATGATGTCATATTTCTGGTAACAAGGGAGTTATTTATTAGTTGAACAACCGGTCAAAGGGGTTATTTGTTGTATGTCCAAACGATAAGGTCCGTGCCATTATATGGCCAAACTTAGGCGGTCAAATGTAATTCACCCTTATATTTATTACCAATGTAATCGCGAACTTATATGGTAGGGGTGTTCACAATCTGGGTTTGTCTGATTTTGGCCTAAATCATTGTTGTGGTGCGTTTCGGATGTATATTAGACATACACACACGCAAACAAATATAGAAACCTTGTTTGCACGCACTCAAGACCCAAAAATAAGCATGTCGTTGTGTCGTGAAACTATGGCCGATCCCACGAGGAGGCTATTTCCTATGCTGGTGCTAAATTGTGAGGGGTTTAGAGAAATAGGTGTTTTTAAACACACTAAATATTGGTCACGCGAGTTATTAAAGGTTAAGAATAAAAATTAAGTAACACGAAAGGAAAATAATACAAGGAAAGTAGGGTTAGGACAATATGAAGGGCAACACGATTAGTAATATGTTCCTAAGATGTGATGAAGGTCGTGTTCATTTAACCTAACTATGCCAATAAGATTTTGGAAACTATGGAGCTTTTGCCTTTTGCACTTCTAACTTCTATTCCTAGTTGTTGGAACTCAAAGAATAGAATCTTCTTCCAATCTCATCTAGTAATTAGATTTAAGTGTGGTGGTTTAGGCCCATTGATTCACTCTCTACACTTCCAGGTCGTAGAGTTACCACAATCTCAAGTCCAATTGGTCTACATTTCCATGTAATCAAAGACTACACAAAAGTTTATAGCATACTAGCATGCATTTCATATTTCCTCATTGGACTTGAGTAATAATCCAAACAAAACCGCCATTGAGAAGTGTTTTATTGAGGGATGATGTTGTTTTTGTCTCTAGTTTCTATGCTAAGTCCCTAGTATGATATAACTAACCCTCTATGCCTAGGTGACCTTAGCCAATTAGATTAAGCACATTAACATCTTCTATCCACCCCATCGTTCTATTTATGCTTAAAGTAGAATTACAAGAGTTCTAAAATTAAGGTCCTACCTTCATGAAGATAAAAAGTCATCCATGAAGGTCCAAAAACATTCAAGTCAAAGGATCCATTCAACTTATATACAATAACATAATAAGAGCTAATGATTGAACTCAAATAACATATCTCATGGTATATATGACATAAATTAAGAGCAAGGACATCTACCCATCATCTACTTAGGAACTATCCACTATGAACACACATAATCAAGGATAAACATAATCAAAAGAACATAAAACAAAAGTAAAGATATTAAGATAAGAAAGCTCCCTTTTTCCAAGGAGAAGCAAAATCTAAACTCCAATCTTCTCTAAATTTCCAAAACTCCATAAAAGAGTTATAGAGCAAGTGTTTTTCCCTAATCATAGAGCTTGAGTAAAAGCCCTAAGCTAATGTCCAAGGCTCTTGATGAATTACATACTAAAAAGTCTAGTTTACAATCAAAAGATTTAAAACCCTAGATGAAAACTATGAAAATAGGAAGTAAATAAAAAGGAAATATGCTAAGAGAGTTCTAAGATTAAGCTAAAAAAGGAGATCCCCTTAAAATTTGGTACATTTGGGTATTTATAGGCATTTGGCACGTTAGGACTAAAATGAATAAGTAAGAAAGTTTCTTTCCCAAAATGGACGTCCTACAAAATTGGAAGCATAACTATAGGTATTGGTCTGCACAACTTCTTAAACTTTCGGGCAGAACTGAACTAGTCTTGACTCTTTTAAAACCTTTGACTGTCGCTGCAAATTCTTAGGGAAGGAGTGATCCATCTTGCAATATTTGAAAACATCCATTGTCATTGCTGATTTGAGTTGATTTTCAAGTCTGAATCACTGTCAATCAGCTACATAATACTCCGGTAACATTTCCCCTATGATTTCAGAACAAATTTCAGGCCATCTTAAGGACTTGGCTTTGCTGGCATTTTCTTCTATTTGCTGGAATTTCCAAATTTTGTCAGTCTGACTGACCAATTTCATTGCAATTTTTCACCTATTTTCAGTTGGACTTTGGATTTGACTTCTGAAGAGAAGTTGTGGCACCAACCAGATAAAGAACTTAGAAATATGAGTTACGAATCCCAAGTTATGATCTCCGTAAGATGACTGCTGGTTACTAAAGTTTCTAGACAATTTTGGTTCAGTTCTGACGGCTTATACTTCGACGGTAGTTTTGATCATTGAAAGGCCTGAATTTGGAGAAGTGTTCTGCATGACAGAGTTAGCTCTATCTTTCAGCTTCGTAACCGTATCTTGATCATTCTGAGTGGAGGCTCCTAGCTCAAGTTATGCAACTTCCAAGATGGATTGTTCGCCTTTGTTCAACATGAGTGCTTATGAGTTTTCTCTAATGCTATTTAGCCACTCTACAATGATCAACCACATGCAAATAAGAATCTATACTATATATTAAAGGAGAGTTTTCAATAGAGATTTGTTTGCCACATGTCAAGTTCAGGTTTTTTGTTGGACATGTGTCAACGCTAGAAGACCTCTTTCATTAAAGTGTTAAATTTTTTTGTAAATTGGTTATTTCAATTTAATTTTCACCCATGTATTTCACACATCTTTATCACATTCCATATATATTTGATTATCTATTTATTAATAATAAAACCCATATTTCCCATTGGTAATTATTTTTTAGTTTTTTTTATTGGTTGCTGAGAAGGATTTTACACACATTTTTAAGCAGAGTTGATTGTGGTGATTTTTTTAAAAAAAATCATAAAATTTATTTCAGTGGATAAAAAACCATTAAAATGTACTTTTTAGGGAAATCTAACCAAAAAATATTACTAAAGAAATGTTGTACAAAATAGTATATATATTTACATTTCCTTTTTCTTTTAAGTTCGCTAAAACTTTCATTTTGAGTTTTGAAAATTCATTTGTAAAAATTTACAAAATTACTCTAGCAAGTTATCATCAATTTTATCGATTAGTAATTCTAAAATTTTACTATAAATGAGTCATACTAATAATTTATCTTTCAAAATATACACTATCTTGAATATGAAATATATTTATATATATATATAATATGAATGTAATTTACCCAACAAAACATGAACAAGAGTTGTAATATCACAAATCCCGACACAAACTTTATCATGTTATGACGATAACGCTCGGCTCACATGCGATCATAATTTTATAATTTTATGCAATACATGTAACACAATCCATGCAATGCAAGGGGATTCGAGCTGTAAACGAACCGAGCCGCTCGTGAGTTATTTGCTAGACGGCTCGGTCAAAGCTCGGTTCAAATTCGGGTTGACCGAGTTCGAGCCGATCTCGAGTCCGATTGTTTATTCATCGAGCCGATCTCGAGTTCGGTTAATGCTTGCTCGTCGGTTCGACAAGCCGCTCGATTTATTTTTTAAATTTTTTATTATTAATATATTGTATAAAGGTAACTTTCTACCCTCGGCCGTCTCTCTCTCCTTTCTCTTCTATGCCTTCTTCTCTCTCGAATCTCATCCATTAACCAAAATCAAATCTAACTTTGTTAATTTCTTATTATCATTCAAACAAAAGATTAGCACAGTGGGTTTAACTATAATTGGATCTGGTTAGTGTAGTTCGATGACCGCTGCAATCAATAGGAGATTGAACAAAATCTTCTTCTAATTCTTCTTCTATTGATTGAATAATATGATGTATCGAAGGTAACCTATATTAGAAGATTTGAAAGAGTTTTTCCAATCAAATTTTTAGTTTCCATCAACTTTGAGTCAAATTTTTTTCCCGATATTACTGACCAATAGCTTTTGAAGTTCTCATCTGCAGATTTCATCTCGCACCTTTGTAAAGTCACCAACTTGACACATGAAATTCTGAACGATGCTGTGGAACATTGAGCCGTAATGGAGTGGTTTCCCTGAGACTCCAATGCCCTCCCCTCTAGTACATAGGGCTTGAAAGATTTTAGCAATTTTTAGAGTATTTATTGAAGTATAATCTCTTTGTTTTTGGGTGATTGATTCAATCTTCTAGTGAATTTTCCTTGATTGAAAGTTAATTCAAATAATGCCCTTTTTTGGTTGATCGATTCAATCCCTCTAGGCTTTATTTTCATGTTGTGACTTCTGACTTTTGGATCTAAGTAAACTTGTGGTGTTTGGGAAGTGAATCTATCGAAATATTTTTCAAGCTTCGTCGAGCTGAACTTGAGCTACGTGCCGCATGACGAGCCGAGTTCGAGTGTAAATTTTTTTTGGCTCGAACGAGCTCGGCGGCTCGAGTTTGCCTAAACAGAGTCGAGTTCGAGTTCGTGTAGGGATACAACTGGGCTAGACTCGGCTCGTTTACACCCCTAACGGGGATAATTCTAGTTGTGCTCTTATTACAATTAAAACCATATAGATGAGTCCAAATAAGAGTAAATAAGGTATGTCCCACTCCCTCCCTCACTTATCTCTTAGTCACCAATCTCCTAGGAGTAACACAACTATAATCGTTGTTAAGTAATCAGAAAATGGGGTTGTGTGCTTCGCATTTGGATGCGATGGGCGTGTGAGTGATGGTGAAGAGAACAAAGATACAATTGTGGTTCTCACTCCCAGGCTTGTGTTTGGATTTACTGGTGTGGTTCTTTTTGGGGAAAGTCTGGTGCAAGGAATGAGGATACAAGGTGAGAATACAGTTGTTGGAGTTTTGAATTATTTATCTATTCATCAAAAGACTAATGACACAAGATTTTCGTCAGTTGTAGCTGAATATGATGATAAGGGTGCACATATTTTTCGTGTTTTGAATGCTAGTGATGCATTTGAAGAACCTTTGTTTTGTATCATTGGGTCTGGGGTTCAGTCTGGCGCACCATTTCTTGAAACAAGACATCGATTTGTGATATTGTCTGACACTGCTTGTGAGATTGTACTTCTAGCTATCTGCTATGTTACTAGATTTGACGAATGTATGGGTGGCTGTGCAAAAGCCATCCATTTCAACCAAAATGGAGATATCACAATCTAGTATTCGAGGCGTCACATTGAAAACGTGATGATACACCGGAACATGGGGCTTCCTGCACTGTATCGACTTGTTCTTATGTGAGGTGTTGTGAGAGTTTCTTTGTGACTGTTATTTATAGAGTTTTTAACCTTACTTCGTTTGTAGTGTAAAAAAAAAAATCCAACTTCACTGCTATCTTTTTGTTCTAAAAGAATAAGACTATTTCTCTTCTAGGTCAAACTTGGATCTTAATATTTTGGGTATGAAGCATCCTATGTCCTTAATAGACTATTTATTTGTTTGTTTAAAAAAAAGAGTAAATAACGTGTGAAATCGTATATAAATAAATCATACAAAAATAAATGTATATTTGATTCACTTCAATTGTGAACCAAACCGTTCAACCGGACCAATTTGCATTTAAAACCCAAATCAAATCAATTTGTATCGAACGGTCCGGTTTATGCGGTTTCACAGTTTGGACCAAATTTTGGGCTTTTATAGGGCCAAAACTTAGGCCTTTTCTTTTTGTCTTTTGGGCGAAAGTAAAATCTTTTTTATGTTTGTAGCAAAAACAAAACATGGCCATCTATGCAATTCTCTTATAAAACTTAAAACACATCCACAATGTTTACCAAAAAAAAAAAAGAAATTGTTAACCAAAATGAAAAAAAAAAGAGAAAATGTTCGACAAAACTTCAAATTCAATACAGTTACGTGTAGTTGTTTCGAAGGTTTGAAAGTCGTATTCTTTCGTCCGAATCTACAATGTCCTTCATATTAATTGAAGATGATAGTGATGTAAAGGACTAGTTGCGCACATTAAGTATTAACCAAAAGAAGAAAAGAGGGGGAAAAAAGAACTTGATAATGATGGCAAGGACAACAAAGGGTAGGATCGATCGTCGGAATCAAAATCAAACTTAATATTCTACATATCTCTCATTTAGGCAAAATAAAAAAAAATCCACCACACATGGATTAAGTACAAAGGAAATTGAACAACTACAACTGTCAAAAAAGAATTGTACGTCGGCCGTCGCACTGGCTATCGAGATTGTGGATTGAGTACAAAGAAAATTGAATAAATGCAACATCCAAAAACAAATTGTCCCTCGGCCGTCATACCAGCTACCAAGATTGTTGCAGCAGCACAAGGGATGAAGGAAATTAGCTTTTTGGTGATTTGCATATGTGCTGGGTAGGGAAAAAGAAAGGTAAGTGCTAGTTAGGATTTTTAGTTACGGACTTGTTGGTTTTATGTTTTAAAAGGGAAAAAAAACATAGAAAACAATTTGAGCAGTCCGTACGTATGAGTTTTTGACAACAAAAAGAAAAAAGGAATGCATGAAAAAATATTAGAGCAACAAAACAAAAAGAAAAAGAAAATAAAAACGCGTTTGGACTCCTTAAACGATAGAGAAGAATCTTTTCATCATCCTAATCCCATATTCTAAAAAGATAAGATAGGGATTGACAACTGATATTCTTATCTATTAAGAATAAAATTTTATCTAATCTAATAATTACATCTTGGACTCAAATACAATAAAGCAATAAGGAATCAATTTAATAGTCATAATGCAAGTAGATATTCTTTTAAAGAATCTCATCCAAGTGTGAATACAATCAACTTGATAATGAAAAATATTTTTTGAGTGTGAACTCAATCAATATCAGCTCGTAGAGTGATAATAGTCATTCATCTTGATGCATATCCATCCATGTTTAGTAGACATCAATTTGAACACTTTTATCTGTAATAAAAATAATAAAATATGCATCATCAATGAAATTTTAAAATTGCCCTTCATGTGTAAAATGACAATTTTACCCTTGCATAGAGCCTTCACGAATTTTGGAGATCTCGTGATGATACCAATTTGAATGCTATTAAATTATTTGAATTATAAATCTGAAGCCTTTTGAAAAGTTCAAAGAACTCAAAAATAAAGTCGAAAAGCAGTTTGGCAAAAGTATAAAAATACTTCGATCAGATTGAGGTGATGAATATCTTAATCAAGATTTCAAGATTATCTAAGGGAGATTGATATTCTTCCTTAATGAACTCCTTCTTACACACCGCAACTCAATGGTGTGTCTGAAAGGAGAAATTGAACCTTATCGGGTATGGTTTGGTCCATGATGAGTTATGCCGATTTGCCCAAATCTTTATGGGATTATGCCTTAGAGACTGTCAACGATCTATTGAATTGTATTCCGTAAATGAGTTATGGAAAATTAGAAAACCAAACTTTACGAGCATGAAAGTTAGGGGTGTCCCTTTTGTCAAAAAAAGTGGACTCAGACAAGTTGGATGCTAAATCTGACGAATGATTATTTGTGGGATATCCAAGAGAAACACATGGATGTTATTTTATAATCTCGCTAAACAAAAAATATTTGTCTCAAAATATACTATTTTCTTTTCGAGAAAGAGTTTCTTTTGAGAAGTCTAGTGGGGTAAAATAGAATTTGAAGAAATTCAAGTACCACAAAGTAATAATACACCAGATATAAAACACAAAAAACTTCCACTACATCAAGATGTAGTACAACGTGAACTTTCAGAAACACAAGTTACTCGAAAGAGTAGCCATCTTCCTTTAAGGTACGATGCCATTTTTGTCATAGATGATGACATTAATCTACTTATCTAGATTCCTAATCTGATAAAGACTTTGTGAGAAGTGAATTATGGATTTTATTTACAAAAATAAGTTATGGACATTAGTTGATCCACCTGATGGAATCAAACTCACAGGGTGTAAAAGGATCTTTAGATAGAAGAAAGCATGGATGACAATGCGTCTAACTATAAGATACGACTGGTTGCGAAAAGTATTACGCAATAGTATGGTATTGATTATGTTGAAACTTTCTCATGAGTAACCATAGATATAGATTTTGTTGTTTATTAATATTATTTTTCTATTTTCAAGAATTACCTTTATGTTCTCTAATACTTGTCTTTTTATATTCTCAAGAAGGACATAATTGTCTTTTTATTATTTAAATTTCACAATTTCACTTGGGGTCTTTATTTTTAAAATGCCTTTTCTATATTCCCATAAAGTTTTGCTTTTCCAAGAAGATTTCACCAAATTTGAAATAAATTTTTATTTTTGGGCTAAAACTTCAAATTAGAGGGGATTTCTTTTGTAGTTGGTTCCAAAAACAAACTCTAAAGAGAAACTTGGCAATTCAAAAGAAGGTAAGAGTAAAATTTCCTTTGTGTTTTGAGCAAAAATTTCTTGTTGGAAGAGCCTTGTTTTTGTTTTTTTTGGAGTTTCAGTAGTGCATCATTTGGAGCTGCTTGAATTCTCAAGAGGTGAGTATTTCGCTAAATTTAAAATTTTCTGCATTAGTTCTACTGGGCAATTGGTTGTGGGCACAGCTTAGGATGTTTTGCCCAATTTATGAAAGTATAAAAAATACTAGTAATTCATGCTGGTGAGAATTTTGATTCTCCCTTGGTGATAAACAACCTAAATTGGTGAAAAATCTTTCGTTTATCCCTAAATTGACAGAATTCATATCCTAATCCCAAATACACCTAAATTCGTGCTTACTTCTATTGCCCTGAGCTTTACAATTAAGCCTATTTTGCGGCATTCAATTGGAGTATATAACAAAGCATTTTTCAACAGACTTGTAGGTTTTGGATTTGAAAGTCTCCAATCTTGGCACATATTTGCTCGGAAAATCAATGAGGGAGGAGCGTGTTGAATTGGCTCCTCAAGAATCAGAGCCCCGTTTTGCAGGACAAGTGAAATTTTCAGGTGCTTGTAGTACTGGACGCGCTGATACCAGGGTTGTTGACCCAGAAAAACCTCCTGTGGATGACTCGAGCCATTGTTCGACCTCACCATTGTGTCCTGCACCACTTACCCGTCAGTTTTGGAGAGCTGGGAACTATGATGTAGGACATTCTGTCAAACCAAGCATTCAAAGTACTCATCCTTTCTATCTCACTCTCACAAATCCATTTTTTCTTTTTTTTAAAGTTAGAATGTGATTGACAGATATGTTGCTCTTAAGGTTGTGGTAATTGATATATAATTCTAGGTTAGGGTTGACACACTTCAAGCCTTGATAATTTACTCTGCAGCTTTCTGTTGCTCTCTCTTTATCAATTTTACTGTTCTTACTCTTCAAAAGACATGGCCCTAAATCTGCATAACTAATATTGAATTTATCTTCTCTGTTATGACAGAAGGCACAAGTTATTTGCACGTGCACCCGAAATTTCTCCATTCAAATGCTACTTCACATAAATGGGCGTTTGGTGGTAGGTGCTGTTCATTTTCATAACTGATCTGGTATCATGTTTCTTAAGCATGGGTAACTTCATTTGATCAAGTATTTCTTAAATGACTCTGTCTGACATTTCTCATCCTGTTGTTTTGTGTTTCAGCGATTGCAGAGCTCCTTGACAATGCTGTTGATGAGGTGAATTTGTTTGACTTTTTTCTGAATATTCTTGTCCATTCTTGTTTCCTCCCAAAAATGATTTTCTGTAGTGCAACTAATAGGAATTTTTTATTCTTGATACTTGAACTAAATGCGTTTTTCTTACATTATGTTTCCTGTTTTTTATGTAATAATTTTCCATCTATGATTGGAGTCATCCTAGATTCATCTCATATGTTCAACTTGATAGAATAGATTGCAATATCAGTTTCTGCTTTCTTGTCAAGCAACTGTAATGTATGATGCACCTTTTCTGTTGAATGATGGTTGTTAAATGGTATTCCAGAGTTATTGTTTAATACGAGGGATATGCATACTGTTGAGTGAAGTAGCCTTTTGCCCTTTCCAAATGTATATCTTGTTTTTATTTTTGTAATTGCTTCTTTTTTCAAACAATATATATTTTGTAGGCATGGTATTGAAGTTTGTGTTACCAAATAAGATTTTGGTTTAGAGGTTCATACCTATGCTACTTTGACACTCTTTCTGATATGTTTATTTTATTTGTTTTGCTCATATCCCATCTGTTGGCTAGATGCAAAATGGGGCTACCTTTGTCATTATGGATAGAATTACGAATCCGAAGGATGGAAGTTCGGCTTTCCTCATTCAAGGTCTTCCTTACTTCCACCATCTTTTTAATTGCTTCTATAATTCCAGTTGGTGCTGCACTCTTGTAGTGAAGCTGTAAATAATTCTTATATCCCTTGATGATTAGACGACGGTGGAGGAATGGATCCCGAAGCAATTCGCCGCTGCCTTAGTTTTGGCTTTTCAGAGAGGAAGTCAGACTCAGCTATTGGCCAGTGTATGTATGGGAATTAACTGATCACCTGCCATGTGTCTTATATCTATCTATAATCTTATGAAAACTCATTCCTTTCAGATGGAAATGGTTTCAAAACCAGTTCTATGAGGCTCGGGTCGGATGTTATTGTTTTCAGTCGTTGCAAAAAGAACAGGTAAGATAAATGTATTCATTATTAAGCTTTAAGCCTTGCTTCATAGTGCTTACTTTCTGTCATTGTGAACCTGATGCATGAAGGACCGCATTTTTGTATGGGGTATCTCTCAGATTTGTTCTTGGTACTGGGAGATGGATCTGGTCAACTAATTTGATTGTTGTCAAGACTAAGATAAATTATGAAGGTGCACCTACTACGGCGTTATTGAACAAATGCATATATTTCTAGTCTATGAAGTATATCTCAAAAGGCTGTCCTTTGTTATGTGTGTTTTGTTTTCCTTTTCTTCTTCATGAGTACTGCATTGAAGTAACATTCAGAATGGAAGTACGGGGACAGGTTTAAATGTTTGAGTTTTTAAAAATAGTGAAATTCTATTTCTCGACTCACTCCATTTCCTTACATAGTAGTGGACCGTAGAAAGAAGTGAGTGGATTGATGGGTGAAAATTTAAACGATGTGTTCCTTTATCTTAATTCTCTTCATAGTGACACTATCCTATTGATTTTCAGTTTTTCACTGGTATTTTGGCGAATATGAATGTTAGCTAAGAATCTTCAAAGCATACTAGTGCTGTAGATGATAGTAAAATAGTCCATGTTGAACTTTTGTTTAGAACATAGTTGCAACAATGCATACACTACTGAGTACCTCTGCTGTTCACTGTATTTCCCTGATGCTGGCAATGCTGGGTTTAATGCTTTCATCTGCTAAATTCTCCAGGACCATAACAAAGAGCGTGGGACTTCTATCATATACATTTTTGATACAGACAGGCCATAATCAGATTGTAGTGCCTATGGTAAGTTTTCAACTTTTCTATTTTTTTGTTTGGATTTGTATTTTTTAATTCACCTGTTATGAGGCCATTGCGTGCCTGAGAGCGAATTAAACTGTTTTACACTTTACTGTTGTTGAAGAATGTTACTCATGGATTTATTGATGACTTGCTTTATGTGAATTGTCGTATCATTGATTTGACACTTACAATATCTTCCCCTGGGTGAGGCACAGATGGAATAGGCTGATGATGAGTGTATTAATTTATTTTTATGTTTTTTGTACAAGAGTAATGGTACTCTCGGTGAAATCAGGAAGACAACACACTTGAATTATTTGGTCATTTGCAAGCGACAAAATCACCAATCACATTCCTTACAAAGATTGCTATGAAGCTATCATTGTTTAATTTTTCCTTTTTCTTCTTCATTTATATCAAATAGTTCACTGCACCATTTCAGTGCAAAACTTCATTGCTAATATTATTCTTTTTCTTAATCATTTACGATCTGCTGCTTGTAACTCGAATAAACGTTGTAGGTAAGAGGGTTGTGGTTGTAATTATATAAAAGAACAATTGTGCTTTACTGATTTACGCCATTTCTTATTATAGCTGCTACCTGTCTGGGAATATCAGATCTTTGGGAGTATGAATATATGATAATGTGCTAAGAGAAAGTGCAACGCTTACTTTACTTTTTATCCGTATTCTGTGATCTATGCATATTTTCCATGGTTACTGAGGAATATTGTTGTATTTAAGCTGGATGTGTTCCATAGCTAGAACTTAATCTAATTACAAAATCATTACTTGAAAAATTTTGTGGGGAAAATGGGACGAAAAAGTATACACAGAATGTGTGGGATTGATGGGTAGAATAGTTTCCAAACACAATTTGATGATTCTTTAGCTTTGACTTGGTTGAAAATGCCCTTATCCTGAATGACAAACAACCTTTTTGCTATCGCGTTGGTGCATTTAACTACCGTGAATTCTCTGTTGGTTCGCTGAGTAGATGTTATCTGCAGGTCCATTATGAATACAATGATAGTAATGAGTGGAAATCATTACACAATACACAACAACATATGACTAATATATCGTTGTTGTTGCGTTGGTCTCCATACTCAACCGAAGCTGAGCTTCTGAAGCAAGTAAGTGCAAACTTTTCTGTCTTTTTCTTCCAATTTAGCCTGTTCAGGAATTGAGTAGTGTCAAGCATGGAATCATCTTCTCAAGCATACGAAACTGTGAATCTTATGTTTATTCAATTTGAAGTTTTCTCTTTCTCCATCAATTGCTTGGGCAGTTTGATGATGTTGGTGACCATGGAACAAAAATTGTGGTTTATAACTTATGGCTTACTGATGATGGCAAGATGGAACTTGACTTCGAAACAGATCCACAGGTCCTACTTAAATTTTCACTCTTTACTTCAGCGATTAGTCTGATTTTGTATTTATTCTTTAGATCAACAAATTTTGCAGGACATTCGTATCTCTGGGGAAGCAAATAAAAATGAGAAAAATGGCTCTAGAATGGCTATTAGTGATGAGCATCTTGCTAACCGACTTCGTTTTTCACTTCGGGTGAGCTCAAGCTCGAGTCCTCTCTATTGATTGGTATCCTTTTGGATTGACCAACCCACAACCAGAAAACCACAATCGATCATTCACTATCACTATCACCCCCTAATGAAAACTAGCTAGTGATGACCCGTCTTCTATTGTTCACTTTCTTCACCAATCGATGCATTCTTGTCTGCAGTGTTCTCCAGTGTTAATATTGATATTTTCCTTAACTTCAACAGGCATACTTGTCCGTCTTGTATTTACGCGTCCCAGAGAACTTCTTTATATTGTTGCGAGGACAAGTTGTGGAGTATCATAGTATCGCAAGTGATCTCAAATTTCCGGAGGTCATTTTATACAAACCTCAGAATTCTGGAAATATAGAGGTTATGGAACAACTTTTTGCAGCATTTCCTCTTCAGATTGTGATTTTTGGTTTTTTTTTTTTGTAGTTTTTAATATTAAATACTAATTATGCAGTTAGTATACTGTTGGATGATATAATGCTGACATGTTTGAAAAGTTCGAAGAAATATATCTTCTGGCTAAAAGATGATCATGTATCATACTAATAGTGTTGTTTCATGTATAATTAGTGGCATGCTCAATGTTTGTTATGTTCCTTAGCCCATCACCTCTGATTCCTTATGTTAAATTTCTACCTCCCTTGCTCGCATATTTTAAATTAGTGGAACGTGAACCTATGACATGTAGTGGTCACAGCAAACTGTTTCTATTATATTTCTTGTTTGTTTTACCAACAACTTGGTGTTTTCTTGATGCACTAGTGTCTGTGAGTTTTAAATAAATTGCCGGTATTAATATTATATATGTTTTTTCTTCGTAACTAATTTCAGGGGACAGTTCTTACAACAATTGGGTTCTTGAAGGAAGCTCCACTTGTAAACATACATGGTTTCAATGTTTACTACAGAAACCGCTTAATATTGGTGAGTTCTTCTCAATTTGCTCTCTTGAAAATTTTATTTTTGTTTGGTGTGCGTGCATGGTAAAAAATTATTGTTCTGGAATTGTACTGTTGAGGGTGAATTGTTTTCAAACAAATACAGTCTGGTACAAAAAATCAATTTACGAGAGGATCCTGTGGGCATGCTATGGAAAGAGAATATGCTTAATACGAGTGGCACAGTGTGTTTATTTTTGTTTTCCCTAATTGTGAAATTTCACCGTGCATTCAAAATTTAATATCATGAAAATCTAAGAAAGGGAAGAGTAGTAAATATAAACTACTTAAACTGAATAAATTTAAAGCTGTGGTAAGAGTGATTGCTATGTATCCTTAGTTAGAGATTCGATTTGGTGGAAACAGCAGCCTTAGAAATGTAAGGTAAAGGTACCTCCGGGCTACAAGGCCCCACCCTTCCCTCCCTGCACCTTTTTGGCAGCCCTTTTGTATAATGTTAATTTGAAACAATATCAATGCAGTGTCTGTCGAGATGCATGTTAATCATCAAAAGTAGTTCTTAATTGATGTTAGAAAATAATTAGCTTGGTCATAGCGCCTCAAGATGGGTTTCCTAGTGCAAAGCACTGGCCAGTTCATGTTTCTCGGGTACTTCCCAGTTCTATATATTGGCTCAAATTGACCATCGGATTACTTATGTGTCTATTTTAACGAGTTTCACTTCGAAAATTTGTTCATCTTCTACTGTTTATTACTAATATCTGAAACCAACCTCCCATACTTGGGGTAGCTGTTCCCCTTAATTTTTAAAATAGACCCATTTGTGAAACGTTTATTACCTCATTTCCCTTCTGTTTCTTTTAAAACATGGCAGATGGAGCCTGTGACAAGATGATTATTAAAAGGTTCATAATTCAATGGAATTATCATATGTAGTCTTTTTTGTGAGTGAAAGAATCTGTTTTATGCTTGTTTGAGCTAATGATTCTTGGATGCGAAGTACTTGGAGATGTATCAGACTTAGAAATTGTAGTACCTTCCTTTCACCGTTAGATTGGGTGGGAACACTACTTAACTTGATTTACTTTTGTTGGAAATCAAGTTCACAGTTTAAATGAGTTGTAAGTTTTGAGTTTTCAAAGTATTTAAGATGTGTACTGAAAAGAAAAAGTATTTAAGTCATTTTGACTCCATGCAGTTTTGGTCGGTGGGGGCTTTTTTTTGGTAGTGTGTGCATCCTTCTTTTTTTACAACAACAACAACAACAACAAGCCTTTTTCCCACTAGGTGGGGTCGGCTATATACATGCATCCTTCTTTTGTTTTTTTTTTTTAAAAAAAATGCTGGTAGGTTTTTCAAGCTGGCATTGAAACGGTTTACTATTCTCATGAAAAGGAGAAGGATCGTCTGCAACTCCGCATAGTTGTTTACTTTTTCTTCCAGCTCTATTTTCCAGTTCTACTCTTCCATGGCTTATGATGATTCTTAGGCTTGTGCTGCTTGCAGATGTCAGAGAAATCGTTATGTTTAATGCTAAAATTATATCCTGCTAGATATGTTAACTTGAGTCCTGAGAAGTATGTTTCATTTGTCAAAACATCTGTTTAGCTATTTTTTCTACGAGCAGTTGGAGTTCGTAGAATGGTGTACATTTTCAGATTTTCCTTATAATTTGTAGTCCTGCTTACTCCTGTGAGAGACCATCTAAAATGTGGTCATTCTCCCTTTCCTGGGGGTTTTCCTCCTCTCCTGAGATTGACATAACTTCGAGTATGTCAGGGCATTTAATTTGAGATAAAATTTGTTAACTGGATTCAATTGTCTTAGCCATCTTACTTTCCTGGTTCCAAATGTGGTCATTAGTTTATTTTTTCCGCATTAGGATTCTCAGCTTTATCTTGCGATTTCTCATTCAGAATGTATCACTGATTTTCGTTTCTGTTGTGAATTCTTCTACAGCCATTTTGGCACGTGGTTAGCTATTCTGACAGTAGAGGCAGAGGTGTTGTTGGTAAGCAACATGTAGTTATCTTTATCCCTTTTATAGGTTTTTGTTTTTGTATTATATGAAGTATGGATATCACCATTTACTTGCTTCTCAGGTGTTTTAGAAGCAAATTTTATCAAACCAACACACAATAAACAGGACTTCGAGAAAACTCCGGTGTTTCAAAAGCTTGAGCATCGTATGAAAGAAATGACTTGGGAGTACTGGTAAGTTTTTCTTTTGATTCATAGGCTTTTAAGACTGGTGGGAAGTAGGTTTCCTTCTCTTCTTGCCTTCTTCTCTCACGGTATGCAATAAGTTTGAGCTGGCATTCGTAACCTTCTTTCTGCATGTCTTTGAACAAGTTGGAGTGTGGCTCTTGTTAAAATTATTTCTACATGTAGAACTGTGCATAATCCCTGGGCCTTCATTTGGTGGGACATGGTGTATTTTTAAAGTAGCGTAACGGAATCTAACACCAAGTTGGATGAGTTCATGACTGATTAATTAATGCTTTCGTAAATAAAACAATTGTCAACGGATGGAAGTTTTGATTTTCGCAGGGACTATCATTGTCACCTCATTGGTTATCAGGCTAAAAAGAAAATTCGGGCAGTCACATCTAACTCTACATCCGATCTAGAAGAACGTCCTGGTTCATATGAACCTGTTCTATTAAGTAGCAACGGATCCTCTGTTCATGGTAACCCAGAAAAATTTTGAACATTCAAAATATCTGATTTTGGCTTTAAGTATTTAGCTTGACTAGTATGTTATCTCACAAAACTGTGGTAAAACACAATGGTGAGACATTATTCATTCTGGCCCCACCTAGTGGGGCAGAGGCATAGTTGTTGTGGACGATTTTCATACCTTTGGGTTTGAATTACACAGGAGCACCCTTCAAAAGGAAAGAGAACAATCATCTAGTAGAACCTGAAAGGTTCAGGAGAAAAGTTGGAGTTGGAGCTAAAGCTGTATTGAGCGATAAAGAAATTATTGTATGTTCTTCTTTTTCTCTCTAAAATATGCACACACATTAAAATAATCAGTACGGATACCTGATGTCTGTTGAAATATTTTTGTCAATTTAGTTATACACTTTGGTCCAGTGCTTCATGGAAAAAGTGAAACCACTAATTTATTTCTGTTGGCTGTCCAAAGATTTGAGGATTATGACACTTCAGTATATCATCTTATACGAAGAGGTCATTTGAACTTTATGAGAGGTTGGACAGATTTATTTTTTCCTTTTCATCTTGAAGGAAGGCTAGAGTTAATAGTAGGCATCAGTATAAGAACCAATTTTAGGTATCTAGAGCCTAAGAACGCGTAAAAAAAATCCATTTACCTTGCTTCTGCTAGGCAATACAGCAATTATAAATGATCAAATCAGTTCAAATGCAGAAATTTTTAAATGATGTGTGCATGATTCTGCTTTACATGAAAAGGTAGGTGTGTTTTCTTGTTCTCCTGAACGAGCATGAGCAGGAAGCCTCATCAGTCTGTATAAAAGGTTCCTGCACTGGCTGTTTCTCAGCCTCTAAGGCAATGAAAGAGTCAGTTGGAACAGGACACACTCTGCCGCATAACTTTAGAAAGTAATGGATTTTCCTGCGGGTTACTTGGTCAGTTTGTAGTGGGTTTGGTTGTTCCAATATTGAAGACATGCATTCAACATGAGCATGGCCGTTTATACCATCTGCCATTTCCACCCTTTTATTTGCCAGTTTCAAGTTGTGGACATGACTTGCATACAGCATTCTGAGCATTACATCTGTTTTTATGTTGTTGGGTAACATTTTAATATTTTATCCTTTTGTCACAAACAGCTTGAACGGGCCTTCTCATTTTTTAAATCACAACATGATGACTGGTTAATTTGAATTACTCTGTGACATAGAGCAGTTATCTAGATTGTATTACCACTTTGTTCTTGCGTTTTCCTCCGAAAAGCAATAACTAGTCATGCTGATGTTACTCCACTGTCGTCATCACCTTTTCCGGCTTAAGTCGTATTGTGATCTAATAGTTTTCTCTATTTCCTGTAGTCAGTAGCAGTGGCAGCAAATGAATCTGAAAACCGGGGAGCTGATAAGTTGATTCAAGAAAACAAGAAGCTCTCTGCTCAGTAAGCTCTCTTCCTTCCTTTTGCTCCTTGTGACCTTGTTGGCTATTTCTTCTTCCCACCATCACTCTGGGTTGAAACTGCGCGATGTTCTGAACTTTTACAGTTTGAAACTCTTGCTTACCTTGAATTGTCAGTATAAATAATTTTTCTCCTTTCGCGGGGAAACCATGTACCTATTGCAACAAGGGGTGTTTCTCCTTTCCCATATTAGTGTGGATATTTTTGGTACTTGTTTCATGTAAGTTTTGAGGTGATATTTACACACTATGCATTTTTTGACTCTGTAGGTGCTTGGAATATGAAAAAAGAGCAGAAGAACTAAATACTAAGGTAACTCGTGAGCACTTATCTTTTTTGGATAACATCTTTTTTTTTTTTAACATTTTTTTTATTTATTTATTTGTATTGTAAAAAGAAAACAAGCATGTGTTTACGGAGTGGGATTGATGGTTTGCTGACTTCCCAGCCTAAAAACCAACATACTCAATTTCTAGTTCAACTAGTGACCTCTTTGTTTAACTTTCAGCAAATTTCGGTTTTTCGCTAGTAATTTGTGAACGGAATTACAGAAATTAATATATATAACAAATTTAGACTTGAATTTGGATTTCTTCCTCGAACAACCTTAAGAATTAGCTTTCTTGTACCCATCATCTTAAGCAGCTTGTCCATCCAAAGCTCTCTCTGTAAGCTCATCCCTTACTGAAAACAGCTACCGCACTCCAGTTCAAGATAACTGTTAAATCTTTTCCTCTGGCATTCTGTTGTAGTATCTTCCAATTAGAAAGCTCCAGCTGCAATTTAGCTACACTTTTACAAGGCCACATCCTTTTTGCACAACTTTATTAGTAGTATGCGATATTAATTTTTGTTGGTGTTAAAGCGCATCAATTTACTTATCGAGAACAATCAATTAGGAGATAGTACTGTTTCATACACCTCCAGCGGAGGGGTGCGAAACCATTAAAAAATCAGGAAAGAAAACTAAAGAAAAGGAAAATGTGAGGGGGCTCTTAAGCTAAATTTGGTGTTTTGGGTTTAGGTTTATTTCTTTTCCCCATTTTGAAACTCCAGCATTGCTATGTAATCTCAAATGTCCACTTTTGATTCCAATCCGTTCTTAAATGACGATGAAATTAAGAATAAATATACTATTTCAAAGCTAGTCATTAATCATTTAGTGAGATAGATTTTACAGTTTGATGATAGGTTCATAATATAATTTAAGAGGTCTGGTTTCAATAACTCCTGAAGTTTCAAAGGGAAAAAGAGGAACTTTAAACTTGCAGTATCTACAATAGTTTTAAAATAGAGGAAATAGGGAGTAAATAAAAAAATTGCAAATGGAGCTGGAAGAGTCATCATTGACAAGTCTATTAGGTTTGTGCTAATAATGGACTAAATCAAAATGGCTCTATTAAATTCCAGTGCTTCTTCTATTAGTGAAGTTGCCGGAAATGAATACTTCAAATGACGTAATGTATATTGGGTCGCAACGAAGACTTCCCAGCCATTTGCTATCTTCCCCTAACCTCTTGATGCTTGATGCTGAGTTGTTGAGGCATTTCAGTCTGCCATAACAAAAGGATTGTTGCTCCAACTTTTTTCAAGCTTTTCAGATTTTTTTCCCTTTTGGTGAAGGCAGTTTCACTTTCTATATGCCTATTCACCATTAGAGGGCAACAAAAGACAAGTACATTTGCTAAAATTTCACTTATAAAAAAGTTAAAAAGAAAACTGAAGTGCTGGCACTCATCATTCTGTTATAGCCACCACTTCATATTGTCATAGACTTCTATACGTCTTTTACACAAGCTTAACTTTATTGGTGTAAGTGTCAAACCTCGCAGCTGATCTCTGAGAGCATTGAGAACTTTTGATTACATTTTTAACTGTGAAGACCGGACTTTGACTGATGAGATTGTTGTCGGGATTCTGAAGTAGACCAAATGGCAGTTGCATCCTGCAAAGCCGAAAATAGTGACTTTTATGATTATAGCAAGGTGGCAGCGCAAAGTACATATCTAGAGTTGTAGCCTTAGGACTCTTTCTAGTTGGTTGATGAATAGAGCGGATTTTTGGTCAAAGTAAGCAAGTTTAATTAGTGAGATCAAAGAGAACCCAAAGAAACTAAGTGGATATGGGAGGGGTTAGTGTTAGATAGACGAATGCTGTCTGTAGACTACAGTGGGGTGGGACATGTAGAGAAATCAAAGAGAGCAAAATGCAATGCAGACTCAAGGAAGATGAGTCTATAGAGCTAGGAGAAAATTGATAATTAGACATCGGCGAGAACAGAGGGAAAAGTAGATATGTACAAGATGACCCTATGCGTTGCAAGCTATCCGGACATTTCTATCCTAAGAAACAGGTGCAGGGAAAGGTTTTGGTTAACTTTCTTTTTCAAATCACACGCATCTCGAGTTGGGGAAATTTTGCATGACTTATCTGATGGAGAAACTCAAACCGAATTGGATACTATCCAGCTGCAATGTATAAGCTGCATATATTTATGGAAAACATACAAACGAAAACCAGAAATTGTGTTAGATTTTTTATTGTTTCCGACGAGGGTTTAGCACTTGGCGGCATAAAATAGACTTATGAACCTGATTTGTGGTCAGAAACCTTGCATGTATTTCTCTTTTGTGTCAGTGAGAACCGAAGAGGAAATTTTATTTTTAGCAAATTGTTGAACCTTGTTTTCTTGTAATTATTTCAACGTATAAATATGCTTACCATCATCTTCTTCTTTTGGACTTACCCTGCTAAACTGTCCTCAAACTGAAGGTGGCTCGGCTGAAAATCGAATTTGGACTGGCACAACGAGAGTACTCCCGCTTGCTAGCTGAATCGAAATTTTTAGAGAAAATCAAGGGAGAAAATCATACGAGAACCCATTAGATGTTGGCGACTTCATGTACCGTAATTCTTCTTTGTCTGTATTGTACTAGTACTAGTTTTGGGGTTAGTTTAGAATCTTTAGCTCATAGTTTGCCTTAACCAATTCTTTCCCCTTGTAACCCGCTGGTGTTTAGGTCTTAGCCTTATTAACATTAATTGTAGACGGACTTTTGAATTTATTTAGACGAAAGTGCAATTTCAGTTAGGAATTAGGTCAGAGTGCATTTCAATCAATTCGGCCATTAGAACTTTTAGCAGTCCACCTCCCAACCATAAGAGTACTTACTATTCATAAGGAAAATAGTCATCATCGATGACGGAGTTTGTCTTTTCATTTTAGGGTGTCCTACTAAATAGGCTGGTTTTTATATATAGGATTTATTTTTTTGTATTGAAATTTCAAATGTGCTCTTAACTTAACTAATTATTTGAACATTATTAAAAGTGTTGGGATTAGTGGAAGGAGGCAAAGTTTGTTTTTTTTCGTTGAAATGAGAATTTTGAATTTGCATTTAATTAATGAGTTATTATGTAGATTTAACAATTTTCAAGAATCTATTAAAAGTCTTGGTCCACTAATTTATTAGTTAAATTAGTTATATTAATCTGTGGTGAAAATTGGTACTACAACCCAATTAAATTGGAATTGGAACGGAGGAAGTAGATTTTTTTTTTTTTTTTTTTCCACTTTGACTAAGGATTGTAATTAAGATTGTGGGTTTTTTTTTTAAGCTATATAATATAGTAACCTGCTGCTATCATTTTCCTGAATTTTTTGTTTATTTCTTTTTTCTTTTTCTTTTAGGTGCAAAAGTTCAAGTATATTTAAGCCAAAAATAATTTATCTGCGGTCCAATATTAATTTCATGGAAACTAAAAATTATGTATGAGAATATATATTTTTCCCTAAAAATGTAATTAGAAAATTGTCATTTCTTATGCGAAAAATGTCAAGTAAATATATTTTAAAATACCCAAAAAAAAATCATGTATATGTGTTTAAGTTAAGAAGTGTGAGATTGTACAGTAGACAACTTATCGTATGCGTTCTTTCTAATCTTCTATCTTATAACACGTTAATTACAAGGTGATACGGCAACCACCATTAATCATAATTGGCGTCGTTATTTAATTGCTATATAAATATTATATAAATTAATAGTGTTCAGCCAGCAGAAATTTATTAAGTTATAGAGATTATTATTGGGAAACAAATACTCAAAGTTCAACCCTACTTTCTTATATGATATAATCATATTATTTTTTATTTACTTGTTGGAGGGAAATAAATTTCTTTATATGTAAATTTTAAGGAAAAAAAAAGTTCAACTGCCTCCTACTTTCTTAAACCTTCTTTTTTTTTTTTGGGAATTTTATATCATTATCAATTTATATGATTATTAGGAGAGTAAAAACCAAACTTAAATCTTTTACTTCTTTTTTACGTATTAATAAAAATATGCAAGTCATCTTGCCAAATCAATGCATTTGTTTATTTTTAACTTGTACTAGAAATAATTTTGAGGTATTATTCCCTGTAAGTTTCAAAAAAAAAACCCCCATTTATTTAAAATCTTTCCATTTACCATAAAATTTTCTTCCCTACACTAAAACTATATTTTCTTTTTATAAATTCTTTTTTATTTTCTTCTTTCACTTTACAAGAACGAAATTTACTTAAACTAATATTCATCATCTAAATACTTACGAAGTTATCAAACCATGCATCTATCATTTCTACACCATTAATTTTACCAACATGGACCTTCCTTTCACTTCCGCTCGTCAGGCGTGATAAAACAATACTAGTATACGTAATATAAGTGCACCCTAAGGTTTTTCCTTCATTTCAGAACTTTTTTGGGGTTTCTAAATCTAATTTTGAAGTTGACGACTTATATTTTGTATTAACAAAATTAATCATCTCCTTGCTATATATTTTTTTTCTTCCTTTAATTATACGTATCAGTTTAATCTTTTCTTTTTCTAGAAAATGCAGCCCCTAATATATATAGAGAGTGGTTGAATCTAAGGTTCTTTTTGAGTTTTGAGCTCAATCAAACACAATTGTTTAACTCCCAACTCTTCAGAAAATTTTCTTGTTGGTTTAAAAATAGATAGGGGCAATCGAATTATTAAATATTCTTTGTATCATTTTATAACTTTTTCTAAGATGGTACAAAGAATATACATAATCGTATGTATTAGAACTTGAATACTAGCAACTCAGTTGGAATTATTGACGTTAAATAACTCGACATCATTCGTTTCCACTTATTATGGTTTAAGTTGAGATAAATTGAAACTATTTTTCTTTACATATGTTGGGCCAATTTTTGACAAAATTTGTGACCGATTTGAGATTGGAGGTCTTTTGCTATAAAAGCAAGACGGGTTAAGGTTGGAAGAACACACAACTCATCATACAACACTTTATTTTTCTTGCTTTTATGTCTTTTATTTAGTAGTTACAGTTTATTTCCATCTTAGTTTTCTAAAAAAAATTAGGGGTTATCCATGAATTTTGTATAGACCACCTCATCGCGATCGAACCAATTCTTAAATGTAAGAGCCCAACTTTTAGAACAATTTGTTACGAGTTTTTGTTAATTAACTGTTTTTGGTCAAACATTGTTCAATCGAACAACGCACAATCAAGTATCTAACCTAAACATTTTCTATTATATTCTACTCCATTCGGTCCTTAATATAAGGTATTTTAATTTATCTTAACTTTAACCTAGTATATATTTTAAATTGACAAAAAAACCTTAAAAATTTCATAACAATAAAGAGAATATAACGAATGTGAAAATATATGTTTAAGATTTTTCCGTCAATTATAAATGTATATTAGATTAAATTTAGAACAAAATGAAAATGTCTTCTATTAAGGACCGGAACAAGTATTCAGCAAACAAGAAAATTCCTCTAAAGAAGATTTCATGTAAATTACGGATAGAAGATGGTGCATAATCTAGCAGTATAGTTGTCGTCTCTTGCATTCCACTATAAAAACAAATTTGGCCCCTTTTCCCATAGCTTTTTATCTGTTTAATTTTTAAATAATAATAAGAAGAAGAGTAAGAAGAAAAGAAGAAAAAAAATCTGACCGCAACTACTTACTCGTATATAATACTTCTTCTGTCCCAAAATTATTGTACAGTTTGAATTTTCACTTTTAATTGCTTCAATTTGTACTAAAAATGAAAACTCAAAATAGACAATAATTTCGGAATGGAAAAGTAGTTTTCGTAAAATGCTTAGAGGTAATTATGATGTTAACAACTCCTTAGAGGCCAAAACTAAATAAATTATTAAGTTCATTTTAATATAATTTGATTTCCCTCAATGTACAAAAGTACAAAATGAACTACAAAATTAAAGAATTAGACTAAAAAGAACAAGATAAAATTTGCTCCATAATGAACTCCTTTTTTTCCAGCTGCCCAATTTCCAAAAAAAAAAAAGAAAAAGAAAAAAGGAAGCAAATTAAGTTCAAGGAGAGATCTGATGCTTTTGTGCATGCATCAATACAAATGTGTTGTTATCATAGTAATCCTCAGTGTACTTGATCTCTTCTCCATAAACCCAATCTTCTTCTTCTTTTTTGTGCTCATGATGAACTCCTTTTCCATTTTCTGAGCAAGAAACTGACACCTCTCTCCAATTGCACCATATTCTCAGCATGATGTAAAACAGAGCCAAGCAGATCACTGTTGATGTGAAAACAATTGCTACTATAATTCCAACCACTTGGGATTTCGACAGCGGTTTCTTCGCTTGTGGAGCTGATTCAGAACAGGATGCTAATGGATGGCCACAGAGATTATCGTTCCCCGAAAAGGAGCTGACTGGAAATCCTGAGAAAATCCCTGGAATTTGTCCCTGAAGATCATTGCTGGATAAGTTCAATCTGTGAAGGCTTGAGAGCTTTCCAAGTGAAGATGGAACTTTCCCTTCAAGGTGATTGTAAGAAAGGTTTAGTCTTTCTAACTTGAGAAGGTTTCCAAGAGATGGTGGAATTTCGCCTGAAAGGGAATTTTTACTGAGGTCTAAAATCACTTGAAGTTCAGTCAAAGTGCCTATCTGGGATGGTATGGAACCAGTCAGATTGTTCTCGGAAAGCCGCAATTCATAGAGCTTCTTGCATTGCTGAAGTGTTGGAGGGATTGGACCAGAAAGATTGTTCTTTTGAAGATTCAGGACATTTAGAGATGCAAGATTGCCAATCTCAGGTGGGATAATTCCTGAAATCGCGTTGTTGCCGAGAGACAGTTTCAGCAATCCTGAACAGTTGCAGAGTTCTGTGGGCACTGTTCCATTGAATTCATTGAATGAAAGATCTAGTTCACCAAGCTCTTGCATGCTCCCCAACCATGGAGGTATTCTTCCTGAGAACCTGTTGCTGTTAAGAAGGACGTGTTTGAGGTTTGTCAGGCCAGCGAGCTCAGGCGAAAGCTCTCCCGTTAGGTTGTTGAATGATAAATCAATGAAATAGAGTTCCTTAAGTTGGCCTAATTGGGAGGGAATGCTACCAGTGAGAAGATTGTTTGCAAGGCGAAGACGGGTTAGATTAACGGACAGGGCTAAACTGGGAGGAATTAGGCCAGAGAAGCTGTTATTGGTTAAGTCCAGAAGTGTGAGAGAATTGGAACCAGATAAAGGAGAAAGGCTTCCATTGAATCTATTATGCGAAAAGTTAACGATAGTGAGATTTTTCAGAAGGGAAAGAGATTCGGGAAGTGGACCTTCAAATGAATTGTTGTAAAGGCTTAAAAGCATCAGCTCTGAAAGGAAACCAAATGTTGCTGGAATTGTGCCTGACAGTTTATTATCCCCTATGGCCAGTTTTTGAAGCTTTTCACAGTAGCCTAAGCTTGGTGGGATTGAACCTGTCAACTCATTCTGCCTCAGTTGTAAGAAAGACAGATTTTTAAGCCTCCCAATTGTTGAAGGAATCGAACCGCTAAAACGATTCCCAAAGAAATCAATCTCAGTTAAGGTGGAGCAGTTTGTCAGTTCTGTTGGAATGCTCCCTGACATTTGGTTGTCATATAGGTACAGAAACCTTAAGTTCTGAAGCTTTCCAATTTCAACTGGGATTGGTCCTGTGATCATGTTGTCAAACAGATACAGAGAAACCAAGTTGCTCAAGTTTCCGATTTCCAGGGGCAGAGTTCCGCTAAACGTGTTGTTGTTGAGTAGAAGATCTGTAAGGTTGCTTAACTTGTCGATGCTTGATGGTATTGCGCCGCGGAAGTTGTTGCCAGAAAGGTCCAACTGCTGAAGGGATGAGCAATCCAATATCTCCATTGGGAAGTTGCTAGACAAGTTATTTCGAGCCAGAAAAAGTTGTTGGAAATTTGAGCCCGGGATGCATAGTTCTTTAGGAATGCTGCCAGTCAAAAAATTGTCAGAAAGAACCAAAGCTTTGAGATTTTTCAGCTGATAATTTGACAGGTTTATGATCCCAGAAAGTTGGTTGTTTGACAAGTCGAGCACCTCGAGCCAACTTAATCCGTTAATCCCCGGAGGAATTTCGCCATCCAATTCATTCCCTTGCAAGTTCAAGTACTTCAGGTTGGAACCAAACTTGTCTGGAATTGCTCCAGAAAGACTATTGTTAGCCAAGTTCAGGATTTCAATGGATTCTAGGCTACCCATTGAGACCGGAATCGGACCTCCAAGTCGGTTATTTGATGCTGCAAAGTTCTGAAGCTGAGCCAAACCACCAATCTCTTCTGGTATAACACCATCAAGATTGTTCTGCTGCAAATCAAGAAACTTCAGATTCCTCAAATTGCCAATTTCCTTTGGTATGCTTCCATTGAACTGGCAATAAGCAAGCCCCAGAACTCTCAGCTCTGTGACGTTACCAATGCTGTGGATAACCTCACCAGTCAACAAATTATCTCCAATCCTCAGAACTTGCAACTTCTTCAAAAGACCAATCTCCACAGGAACATTTCCTGATAGGAAATTTGAGAAAAGTAGCAACTCCCTCAAATCTGGAAGCTGTCCAAGATCAGGTGGGATTGTTCCGGTAAGCGAATTCTTGGACAAATCCAGCATTTCAAGATAATTGAGCTTTGAAATCTCAGGGGAGAGTGGACCTATTAGTCCTGAAGCAGACAAATTCAAACTCACAACATGGAGTTGATCATTTGAGCATGCCACCCCAGTCCAGTTGCATAAGTTGTTACTATTCCCTTGAGACCAGTTTTCAAGAACTCCAAATGGATCTTGAAGTTCCGACTTTATCCTCAAAAGGGTGTCTGAATCAGACAAATTCTCACCCAAACAGAGTACAAAAACAGAATTCAGAACTGAGAAGAAAAGAAGCATGAGTTGACAAAGCTGATGGATCAGAGCCATTTCAGTTATTCCAACAAATCATGAAAGAATGAGATTTGATGGGAAAGGCATTCATTCCCAATGGTGGATGTTTTAGTTGATTGAAACAAAGAAAGATGGAAGAGAAGGAATTGACAAGAGAGTTCAAGAAAGAAGCAAGAAGGTGGAAGAAGAAGATCATGGGAGAGTGCTAAACTGACAAGATTGATGAGATTTATATATAGTTTCATGACATAAGCCTTTTTTCAATCATCTTTTCAACAGAGGGTAATCTTATTTTTTTAATGGAAAGTCAAGTAGCTTTTTATAATTTTAAGGTTTTCATTTTTAAATTGCAGCCCTTTTTACATTTTATTTTTTATTTTTTTTGGAACAATAATACTCCTACTTTGCAACTTCATCGCAATTTGGTCAGGTAAACTACTAGCTCCGTCCCAATAAAAAGAATCATGTTAATTTAGAATGGAGAAAATACATTTCGATTGGCATATTTTGTTTCTCTTACGTCTCTCTCATTTTCAAAGGTATATTTATAAACAAAATGACAACAGTTCATCTCAAATTAAAGAGAAGCATCTCTGATGCGAAATGAAGTAGTTAAATTAAAATTGAGATTAACTCATATAAAGATATGATATAGTTTCAAGAATGACAAATTATACCATTAACTAAAAAACTACAATGAAATAAGGGGTAATTAATTGATAGTTTTATTTTATAGGCACTTCAAAGTTCAAACCCTGAAAAGGTTAGACATTCTTGTAAGTACCCATAAGGATCGAAGCCTAAACCTCAAGAGCAAATGGTAGTCCATCTTCATGTCCTTTTGAAAGCTTGTTGACTCTCTAAGGTGTTAGAAAAATCATACGAATGAATAATTGTCAAAGCGGTTAATCGGTTATTGACAATGTAATGAGATTGAAGGTTTCAATCGCGTATTTATTACTTTTGCTACTAAAGTATACTCTAATCATAGTTATTTTCTTCAAGGGTATATTAATTAGTCTTCCCCTATAATAGTCTAGGTGCAGTGACGCTGGTGATCACATAATGATGAAGGATATGGCGCGGTAAAGAATCTAAAAGATAAGTGTTTGATGATGGGCTAATCTGAAATATGTGAACCAAAAAGGGAAAAAGGGTAAGATCGAAAACCCACTTGCCGCTATTTGGAAACATATGTAATAGTGGGGCTCTGCCTAGTACGCATGGCATCCTTTTTTTGTTATTTTCTCAACAGTAAAGCCTTATTTTCTTTGAGTAATGATTTTCACATGAAGGAAAAAAAAAAATAATACTACAACACTTTTCATATGCTATATTATGTATTTTTCGGGTAGTGTATTAATTGAGCGAGTTAATAGTTGTGGCATCTATAAACATCTCAATATGATTAGGACAATATTTCAAAAGTTAAAGTAGATGGTTTAATTTGGATAAAGAAAATGATAAATTTTTTATTTATACCCACTGATTCTCTCTTTTTTTTTTTTTTGTATTTTCAATTTTCATGTTCACTTCTTCTTTTTCTTATTTTTGTTTTTTTTTTTCCTAATAATCGCACGTATTGTTGGTGAAGATTCAATCTCATTAGGAGAGTAGAAATGATACAACAGTTCATTCTAGTTTAACTCTTCCCAGAAGCGCAAATCATGTAGATGAAAATTGATAATGAAACTATGATTGATTTTTTTTTAATAATATGAGAATAGTCACTTTAGCTTACTTTTTTATTTTTAGTTTTGAAGTAATCTCCATTGGCATGATGCTAACATCATTCGTAAAGTCCCTGAAAAGATTGATGAATGAGTGCTTGTAGTTGGTGTTGGTGACCACGGTTTCTTCCCAAATGCCTCAAAGTGGATATTTCTTTTTTCCTCCCCCCCCTTTTTTTGAACTGTAACTTTTTTAGTAAATCATACATGCAATCATTATTTTGACGAAGTCGAAATCTGCACGATACTTTAGAATGGACACCGACGATGATCTAAGCGGTGGTGGGTAGCCTAAAATTTGCAAGACAGAGTCTCGAGGATCTCTCGAAAGTAGACTCTCCGATGCTTAAATTAATAAGAGAATAAAGAAAAAAGTTTAGAAGATATATAGAGGGTATCAAGGATATCTATTATGGGAAAAGTACCACCTCTCTATATAGAGATGTTGTTACCTGTTTAGGCAGTTCCTATTAGGATTAAATTTATTATGAATAAGGCGGTTGCTTAACTTTCAAAGTAGCTGGCCCAAACCTATTAGGGTTAACTCGTCATATTTGATGAAATTTTAAAGAAGTAACTATGTATAATGGAAATAATTTAAAGGAGACAATAAACAAAGCATGCGTTCATATATCTTATAATATATGTAGCAATACAGGTAATGAGTATTGGATAAAATCCTAGAAAATTAACTATGTACAACGGAGATAATTTAAAGAAGACAATATACAAAGAATGCTTTTATACATCTTACTGTCACAGTATGAATCGCAGGGTCCACATTAAAATTACCAATTACGAATCTACAACTAACCATGAAATTTCATCTCATACCTCTGGTTTGAGCACAAGCACACTACCTAAAACCTAAATCTTGCAACTCGAAGGAACTTTGTCAATTGTGTATTAATGTTCATAAAAAGAAAACAATCATTTTATGACCAAAAAAATGTAATATTATGATATAAAGATAGTCAAAATCCAAACTGATAGGGTAACATTTTTATTTTTTTTATTTTTATAAAAGAGAAACTGTAAGATATCTTAACCGGGCATATTGTACGTATATAAATAACAAACTAATTCTTATACTTGAATATGCACACTCAAACCATCTCCCTAGCCCAAGGAGTTGTTCCTTGGGTTATTGATGGTGCTTATAGCGATTGTTTTCCCGGAAAATTTCACAATTCTAACAATACAACACACATTAATATATTTTTCAAAATGCAACTAAATTTGGAATTCATGGAACATGGTACGGAATAAATATTGGAAAAAGAGTTTGATTTTGTTTGACTTTTAAACTAGCATGTGGTCAAAGGGGGGCTTGAGCAAAAGGTCAAACCAAACTAGCAGGCAGGATTCCATTATGTATTGGATCAAATATCCAACTCTGAAAGTATAGAATCAACACCATCAAGGAAACGTCCCCCAGCCGCTAAATGGCTAATCCCTTGAAGTGACAGAATTAGGGCATTGTTCATGAATCTTATGTGCCATTTCAAGAACATCACCTAATCTTTTTGTTAGATTACTTGCCAAATAATCAATGTTCACAAAGAAATTTGATTTTGGCTATTTATTATTTCATTTTTTTCTCGAATGACTGTCATGTTTGAATTTTCAATTATAGTTCAAATTATGTTATACAAGTTAAAATCTAATTAACTGGACAATAGTTTTGAAACAAATAAAGTAGTATTTTCATATCACATGGAAGATGCATCATGACCAAATTACTCGTCAAAATATTAGTGATATGCACATATTAGTTGCTGGAAATCGTTTGCTGGATCATATGCCTTCAACTGTAGTTGCCCGAAGTAATCCGTGATATGATTCACAGGCGGGTTTCTTATGGGTGTTCGATGTTGTCTATACATATACACTTGTGACCTAATTTTTGTTAATATGCGTAATTTGGTACTCATTTTATAGGAGTCATGACCTAAGATCACCGTAAATTGATTCCCCTTTCTGAAGCTATAAGTAGTTGTATATTGGAAAATATTTCGTAATATAACATTTTTTTAAAAAAAATAATAATAATAAAAGAAAAACACTCACAATCTCTGAACTAAAGGTTATTACTATTATATTTTGCAAGGGCCGGCGATTCTGCCACAACAAATTTAAAATAAAAAGACATAATTACCCATCTCATAAAAAAAATATCTATTGGAATACGTACCCCTCCTCTCTGCCTTTAAACTTATGGATTTTTACTCACTCAGATCTGTGATGATTGATTTAATTCCACTGCTCATCCTTTTCAACGTGAAAATGTTGTCCAGAGAGATAAAAACGTAGGATGTCGAAATTAGAAACAACGAATAAAGACGATCTCCAATTTTGCGAAAGGGAATATATAAAGAAAAAAAAGTTTAGAGACATGTTATCAATCTGCATCTTTAGTCCAAAATTGCTTGTGTACAGGAATGATCTGAATTTTGGGAATCTCATCAATGTGTTTGGAGCCCAAGGATTAGGAACAATTATTGATTCTCTTCAAGGCCAATATTTTTGGGTTCAACTGAATTAAGATAGATAGCACTTTCGATTAGAGGAGAAAAGACATCAAATTTATATGTTCTTGCTTGGAGTGGGAGAATAGAGAAATCATGGCTCTCTATGAGGTTGGCAGAAACTCGGAACACGATGAAGACAAATTGTCATATTGGTTTAATCATGTCTTTTCAATTTAAAAATTTGTCGTGGATGCTAAAAATTGTTGTGACAAAATCGTTATCCATTTTGTAAATAAAGAAAAAAAAAGCGAAATGGATGAAAAAGGTATACATTATATGTTTGGAGGATACGTGAAAAACAAGACGATTAAAAAACTACTATTATCACTCATAATTTGGGCAAAAAACAAAAAAAAAAAAAACAAAAAACAAAAAACAAAAAACAAAAACAAAGAAAGAGAGAGAGGTAGAGAATGAGAAGCGCCCAGTTTCAAGGCCTCAAAATGGGAGCACATTAGGGTTCCAACATTTCATTTTACATTCAGATTTAGGGTACTAGTTCATAATGATAATGTTTGATTAGTTCACAGTAGTTCATAGTAGAAATTACAAAGAATATTCTGTGTGGGCATCTATGGTTGCGGACTTGCGGGGTTTTGTTCTTTTTGAAATAACCATTAAAAGTTACTCCCTCTATCCCTAAAAAAATTTCCAAATTATAATATGAGCTATTTTTTTTAGATGGAGAAAGTATCTAGTAAAACATTTCTTTCCTTTGGGTAAATTTTAATTTCTGTCATATATACTAATAATCTTTTTAACATTATCAATAATATCAAGAGTATAACTATTATGACGGCGTAAGAAGTAAGTACTCTCTCCGTCTCAGAAAAATAGTCCACATTGAATTTTGAGTTTTGTACTGTTTTTAGTATAAATTTGAAAACTCAATGTGGACTATTTTTTTATACAAAAGTAGTACTTCGTAACAAAAATGTAGAATCTGTATATTGAAATTCAATAGTTTGGTTTGGAATTTTAAATAAAGATTAATAATCTAAATGAAATTACAATTCAGTAGAGAGAAATCCAGAAATTTAAGTATCCATCCTTATTTGATTGGGACGGAAGTAGAAGTAAACAAGCCAATAACATTTCATACTAAAAAACAAATGATGAGGAAAACAGGAGTCCTATTTGACTATTTTGAATGATTATTTGGTGAGTCGAAACTACAAACAAAAAGCTTCTGTGTTAGGACTTTTGTTTAATTATTTGCTGTTCTCTTTGAGTCAATTAAACTATAACAAAGTCACAATATTATGGTGAGTTTTCACAAAAAGCCATTAGCATTATTGCCTTTCACATTAAGGACTTCTGAAAGAAAGATTACGATGCTTTTGACCAAAATGGTCTCTCTTTTTTTCTTTCTTTTTCCAATACAGATGAGTTGATCTGGGCACAGACATGTTCCCTTTGGTCCTTATTTAGTTCTTATTATAAGACATTTTAATTTTGTCTTAAATTTCACCTAAGATGCGTTTTTAATTAGAAAAAAAAATTAAAAATATATTTCCACATTCATCGTGTTTTCCTAATTATTAGGAAATATTTTTAAGATATTTTAAGTGAAACTTAGAACAAATCAAAATGTTTTATAATATGGACCAGAGGGAGTATGACACTCAAACATATTCACTGATCATATTGTGAACATAATCTTTTCCAAAAGAGAATTTCCAAATATCATTTCATTTCTTTTACAAGCCGAATGCTTAGAACAATAGTACACAGTTTTCGCATCAAAGATTGGAATGTTTTGACTTGCTTCATTTTGCTTTTCAGTGTTTCATCAACTTGGCTCTGATCATTATCAGAAACTCGGGGGGTCTCTTGAGTTGACATTCCTTTATCCCAACCAACCAAATCCCCACCTAATGCAAATATCATAATAGAAGAAAACAAGAAAAGGTAAACAGCTAAAATGGATTTGGGAAAATGATTTATATACTATGTAGAAATAGATCAAAACCTAATACAAAGAAAACCATGTGAAGATTTCTTGTCCTTTAATGCTAGAGATATTCCATCTGTAGAGCTATAACAAAGGGCTTAATAATGCTTCATAAGGGGAAAAAAAATTGTGTTTTAACAAAACGGTTCTTGCTGGCAATAAGACCTCAAAAATTTGAAGACAAAGAACTTGAAATCGTCTCTAAGAATTAATTAATTTTAGCTCATCTAAATCATCTACAGAACGACCAGTAATATTATAATAATTGGGAATAACAATTTAGTGATTAGGATATTGTATTTTTTTGGAAAGAATCGAGTTCAATTATTATCAGGGGTATATAAGGTAATTTTACTCACATTTTAATGGAGTTTACTAAAGTTACTTTAATAGTACTATAATAAACTGAATAAACGATATATTTAGTTTGGGACCAAGTAAAATGAGTTGAACATAAGTGATTTGAGATATATCTAAATCCTCCAAAACAAAACAAAAAAAAAGGTTTTAGACAAAAGTGAGCTAAAAGATCTGAGAGCAAAATAATTAGAAATAAGGTCCCAATTGAATGGTCCAAGGAGGGGCTATCTCCAAGAGGAGGTTTTGATTTTTAATGTTAATGGACCATATTGCCATTTGCCACCATTACCATCAAAGTGATCATCCATGCCTTCCATGCACTACTCTACAAAAATGATATGAGATTGAGAACTACTAAGTACTAGATAGACTTAGTTGGAATTTATGGAGCCTTTGTTTCCCTTCTTTTGATAAGTTTCTCCTTTGTTTTGTAACTGGTGAAATTATGTGACATTGAATAAGAATAATATGTGTGATACATAAAAACACAAAATTAATCTGTGTCACATCACATCTTGTTAAAAATGAAATGATTATCAGGTTCGTTATTCTATTTCATCATGAACATATGTTGTAGTAATTGTTAAAATCTCCAGGAAACGAATATTTCATGTCCTTAGATATTAAATTATGATATACAATAAACTTGTATATTTGAAATCCAAACCCACTTTATTTACCGCAATATACTTGTAAATGAAAATACAAAATAGTTTACAGAAAAAAAAAAATTCACATAATCAGTTACGAGTAACACAAAAAGTGGAAAAGAAAAAACAATGTTAATTAGCAAGTTCGAACCTACCACCTTTGATCTCATGGCATGGTTGGCATTTGTACTTAATTTCTTGTTTACGTTTTCTTGACGAAAATGTAAAAGCTTTCTTTAATTAGGGCATAAAACACGTATTCGTGTCATCATGCTAGTAGAAATAATTATAAAGCACAATCAGAAGAAAACTCTCAAACAATTCTTTGCAGATTTTCCCTTGGTTTCCCTACCTAATATTCTTGTCTGATCCTTCAACTAGAATTTGCACAAGCACTTAGCAACAAGAAACACTACCAAATACTGGAATTAAGAATGAAAAAAATGGGTCTGTGATTGAGATTTATGCATTACATTAAAACCTATGAGACAAAACAGGAAGAAAATATGCACATGAAAATCCAAAGGAGAAGGTATGATAATTGAACATTTAAATACTTCCTGTCCCCAAAGAACAACTCAGAGGAATTGTTTCCATCCGCCAGGTATTAAAGAAGTAGAAACCAACTGACTAATTTCTCACTTGAATAATGTGCAAGAAGAATGAATATTACTCCCTCCGTCCCATAATTATTATCCAGTTTGGGTTTTCATTTTTAGTTCAAATTGTACTAAAAGTGAATTCTCAAACTGGATAATAATTTTGGAACAGAAGGAGTACAAATTATCGAATGACACGGAAACTGATGCTGTACAGATGGTAAAACAGAAGCATCAATTAGACAATTACAATCCTTGATGGAGAAACATAAAACAAAGGTCCTTAGAAGCATTTTCATCGGTTCTATGAATTCATTTCCGGTACAGTTACAATGTTTCACTTATGGCTACAATGTGAAAGGCTACAATACCCAATGCCAAACAGAACATAAGGAGTGTACTGAATTTGATTGATCCAGAATTGTGAAGGAAAAGAAAAGAGAAATAAAAAAAAAAAAAAAAATGGTACCCCATTGTGTGTATCACATCACTTTCATGAACAGTTCTCCCATTTGTCAAAATTAGTTACAAATGTGATATCAGGAAGTATACATGATTCAGGACTTCGAGCTAGTAAGTTTAACTAGATCATTTACAAAGAAAAGAAAAAGAGTTCTAAATCCAAATCAAGCTTACGTTATCATGTAATTTAGTCCTCAGAAATGGTGGAGGAAGGAAGTAATCTCATTATAAAGCTTGACAGTGACCATATGCAGATCACACCAAGAAGCTGAAGAACATTCAGTAGAGTGCTTAGCGAACTACTGATTGCCAAGTTATGTGACGTCATCTCAGCCCCCTTTACAGTATAAGAAAGAGCAGTTACCAGTTGTGCTGCTCTATTCAGTTGGTGTAGCCTGTAAACCTGCAATGGACAATTGTTTGTTAGAACTTAGAAGTGATGAAGCTGCTTGCTCCCCTATTCCGGAGGAGAACTAAGAAGCATAGTTTCAAAGAGTTTTTCCCATGACAGTTATAAGTACACTAAATGAAAAGAGTCGTTCTAAGCTAAAATCTGACTAAGCAACTGTACTCTCAAACAACTGACAATAACAAGATAGTATAACGTGGGATTAGAGTCCCCAGCAGCTGAGCATCATGACAAATAAAGAGCTTCAATTACCTAATATTTGCCAATCCGTGAAATAAGATTTATAAAAAATTTATATTTCTTCGGCATTGGTAATGTCGTGAGGAATCTAAATAAATTTTAGGTGAACAGTCTGACGAGCTCTACAAATCTCCAGCAGAGAACAAAATCAAAAGATTAGTCAAAAAGCAAAGTTTTACGCATTCGTAAAAAGCAATCGACAACAACAAACACATAACCAAAATTGTTCATTCATAAAAGCCTACTCCACAGCTCTTGGTTGATGTATCAAAACTTCATTCTCCTAATTGCTCGTTTTACATGTGAAAATGAGAGCATTCAATGATAATCATAAGCAGTTTACAGCAAAAATAAATCTCAGTGGTTTCCCTTTCAAAAAAAATAAATAAATAAAAATAAAAAAAAAATCTCAGTGGTTTCGGCTCATGGTCACTGCCCTCAAATACTTCACAACGTATCAATTCAGTATCTTAGTTTCTTACGAATTTAAGTGATTATGATATGTCCTCTATATATCCTTCCAATATTAAACAAATCTCTCTGCAACTAACAAAATTCTCTACAACCAAAAAGGAAAATAAATTAAAAAACCAAAAAAATATTAAAAAGAAAGGACAATAATCTCTTGGCCTAAAGGGACAAACGGGATATGTTCTGCCCTTGCATCGATCATTCAGTATTAACACAGCTGAACTTTTCCAACATCACTTACGTCCCAGATAAATAATAAATCTTCAAGGGTGGATAATACAAGCTTATGCTTCAACCCCATCTATCAGAAGGCATAGTTATTTAAATGACTAATAATAGATATTCAAGGGTGGACTATTACGCACCTTTCTCTACTTATCCATCACTTTCAATGTTTTGATAGGTTTTCTAGGACATTACTACATCAACAGCAACAACAACAGGCCTTTTACTAGCACACTCGTGGAGCACAAATTAAACTTAGAGCCACCCAAGGATGAGCAATCCTAAAGTTCGGCTGGCCTTTGACTTCAAACTCTTAAATGACAATTTCCTCCCATGAAATTGCAAAGTTCTCAATTATATTTGGCGATCCACAAAATCTTGACTTGCACTGTGGGTCAGACTGAAGCATTAAAATGAAGGAAATATTAGCAGTGAAGAGAACCTGCATATGACTTGCTTAAAGTGGAGGTTACACCCCAGTTTTTTGTTGACATTACTCTCCCGAATGATGAAAAGAACTATCAGTTATAAGGTAATTTTGTCACTACTATAGCTGACATCAAAATTCTTGTGCTACAAAGCGCCTATCACGCATTTCACTATTTTCGCCTAGTGTCTTTCGTCCATTTGAAAGTACAACCCACTGCTTGTAGGTTTTTAAACAAGGGAGATATCTGAAGAATTTGGCCAAACCACAAGGGGACAAACTAACATTTGCCCTTTAACTGTGAAATTTACTTCGGACTAAAGCCGCAGGATGCATACATTTGAAAAGAAAAGAAAAAACTTCATAAGAAAGAACAAAAACACCATCAGTGGCTATAAACACTTGGACAACTGGTACAAGTTCTTACCTGAAATAAAATGGGGATTACACACCACGATGGGGATTTAGTATATCTTGCGTATTGCTCGAAAGCAAACTGAATCACAATGCCAACTAGATAGGGAGCAAGAGTAGCAGAAGCAGCAGGGCCCGTCCATGGCCAAACAAACCCCATTGTCACCATTGGAATTAGAAGATTAAGCACCAGGACTGCAACAGAAGAAACTCGGTGTCCTACTTGCGGATTAACATTCCTGATATTTGAAGAAGACAGCGTTTCGATAGGTCTCCTTAAATAATCAATTAGGAGAAGAAAGATAGCAACTCCACAGTAAAAAATAGCCTCTGTAAAGAACAGTATGAGGAAGTCTGCACAGAAAGGAAATGGTAACTCAGATAATAAAAAGCAGCTATTCCATGGTAAAGTATTGTGTAGGGAAGCAAACGGCAAATCACAGTGTGCATCAATATCAGAGTGAAAGACATACACATACATCAGCATCAAACGCCAATTTAGAATCTGAGTTCAAATGCCAAACTTTACGTTCCGCATAGCCGTTTCTCAAGAAAATCACAAACTACAGGACCTCTTGAAACTCTCACCAGTAGAACACACTTTCCATCCACAAAAACCTACATACAGGCATTTTACAGATTTTTTATCTTTCAGATTTAACCTTCAGCCTTAAATATTACGTAGTATTGCTTTTCCAAAACTCAACTTGGCAAAAAACTTACAGCTTTTGCGCACAATTCAAAATATTCTTCAATTTTCCCTTATTACAATAAAATATCAGTCCAATTCATACCAAATAAAGAAGAACAGTTTCTAAGTTTACAAGGATCATCATGACAAGGTTTTTAAAGGTACTTATTACAAATCAACTTTGCACACTAGAATTATATAAGTTGACTCATTTAAATGAATCAGGAAAAGAGAAAGATATTTCTTTGCAAAACACAAGTTTTTGGAATTCCGATCTTAGAATATCACTCAATCATTTCTGAACTACAGCACCATGGGTTGTGTTTTTTCCTTCATCCTAATTTTTATGGACAAAACTCAATATTGAATAAGATTCATGGTGGCTTTTACTTTAACTGTCAGGTTGAAATCAAAGACAGAGAGATGAAAATAATTAGAGTTCTTGACCACCACATTCAAACCTGAGCACAAGAATCCACAAATATGTCATGTCATAATTAATATGGGCAGTAAATTTATTTTACTTCCAACTATTATTGGGGGAAGAAGGGAGCACCAAAATTGCTTGAACTAGTCAGATTATTAAAAGGATGGCTCAGATATCTTGAACTCCAATGAAATCCTCCAACGTTTAGTGACTTGACAGAATTATACACCTAGAGAAGATCAGACGTCATTGAAAACCCGAAAACAACAGTAATCAGAGGATACTTGGATGCAACATCTGACTTGAATATATGAATGGCTTTGTTCGTCCTCCGATGAATATGTAAAGGTCTAAAATGTCTGCTATTGAACGATTTAAGAAGAGGAATGGGGCACAGAAGGCAATAGTCAAGAGTTTGAAAGGCCAACTCATTGTGATTCGGATAAATTTTCAACACATAAGAGTACACTGTCATCTTCAAATGAAAACGTCTATGCATAGCATCAAAAAAATTCAAAACTTTCTCTTGAAGAATTTAATTAATTGCAAGTGAAGAGCCTAGCACTAACAGGCCTAGAAACTGTATGTATAGCTTTCTATCACTAATAAGTTACTCAAGCAGAAATGTTAAATGAAATATGACATTAATTATTTCCCATATAATAAATGACATGAGCGATTTGAACATTATGACACATAGTGCTGCTTCAGAACAATATGCATAGAGGTTGGTAAACTTTCATAAACAAATGCTAGATAAAGCCATAAGAAGCAATAATTGAAGCTTCATTGTTTCGTCAAACAATAAAAACTAATTTTCTATGTGCAACAAATCATTTCACATCCCTGGAATGAAGCTTCGAGGACTTCAGAAAGAGAAGCCTGAGCTCAAGCAATGACACAAAGGGAAATCTCACAACAAACAAGCAGAAGAAGCCCTTATCTCAGTGGGGTCGGCTATTCAACTACGTGGGAAATTCCTCCAAAAAAAGAACAGAAATCAATGGGATTACCATTTTCAACCAGGATCAACAAATACAGCAAAAGTAATAACCTTGAGCAGGAACAACATAGTGTTAATACAGGGAGCACAAAAACCTCAGAAAAACAAACTGATCAAGAGAGATTAAAAACTCCTCAACTACTATGAAACAAAATAGAATTCGGACTTCTAGAATATAGCAGTTGACTGAAAACCCAAAACACCCTCACGAGTAAAAACAAAACTCTAACTTACAAAGAAGATCCCAAATTACAACAAAATGCTGATTTTCTCAATCTTTTCCATGAATCTGATAACAGATCAACCTCCCCAATCCTGCTCGTCAGGAAACCAAAAAGAACTAATTGCACAGATCACTCAGAAAAAGAAAATACAAAGAATACTTTGTAGTCTACCTGTTAATAAAGAGTCCTCAAATATAGTCGAAAGAATCCTGCGCAAATAGAGAGAGGGAAAGATGAAAGAGGTGACAAGAACTGCTGGACCAGCCAACCAGAGTAGATTCTTTGGATTCTTTCTGGAGCTAGACTGGACTATCTTAACCTCTGATTTGTAAGGCCGATTATAAAATGAGATTATGCCAGGCTTTCCTCCGGTCCCTTCAGATGGAATTTGTGAACCATCCAAAGCGGCTACAGCTTCGACTAATAAGTGGTTTGCTTCTTCGTCTGGATAATCCATTTCAATCTCCTTACTGTCAAATTGATCTGCAGAAACAGCGTCAGGGAAACACTTCCTTTGGTGTAATTTCTCCTTGAGCCTTGGGTTTTGATTAAGAAACTGCCATGACTTCTCAACTAGCAATGAAGAAAATAAGTAAAATAAGATAACCGAGTAAAAAAAGGAAATGAGATGATTAATGGAAACAAACAAAAGCATCCAGCAATCGTAAAAAGACAGTTCAAAACATCCACAAAAATGCAGCCTCCAAGGAGTATGACTAAAGGCGATAAAACTTCGACTAGGCAGAAGAATCTATGCAAAACTGTTAACCTGTAAAATAGACTCTGACGGACCAGGGCCTTTCTCAGAGTAGCTTAAGAACAAATCCTCTAAATCACCTATGTAGCTTACTTCACAAGAACCAAAATGAACAGACTAGAGTGTGGAAGATTTAAAATAAAGCAGAACCTTTGTACGTTAACTAGACTACCTTGAGTACTCCTCAGCTGTTCCACATTAACTGGCTGCATGTCTAACAGTCGTCTTCCCAAATATACCTGAATGATAATACTATTATGTAACAAGGTTTTAACCAAATAGAGCATCATTCATGAAGACTGCATGATTGCAAGCCTGATGAAAGGGAAGGGGAAACCAGGGTGAACAGTGACCTGACCATTCTCGAACCTTTCCCAACCTTTCTGACTAAATGATCAAAACAAGTCACAAGCAAGCAAATTCACAGATTGCAGCAAAAGGATATCAAAAAGGAAAAATCACAGAACAATCCTTTTATCGAAATGGACATGCATGCCGTCGACTAATCTAAACTAAGAAAAAAACTGAAAATATTTTTTCAACAAGAATATTCAATATCATTCTATATTCTTTAGTAATCAAATACAGAACAATGAGACCAAGGCCCAGTGCAACAGTAAGGGTGCTCGTTTCAGACAAATTGGCCAGTGGTTCAAATATGGGACAAGCCTTTCTGCATAAGCAAGGGTAAGGAAGCATACAATGAGACTCTCCCCCCATACCCCCGCGAAGCAGGAAGCCTTCCCCCCCATGTAAACCCTCTTCTAATCAATATCGCTCAAGGAAATTATTATAAATTTATTATTAATGAGAGAACAAGTAGCTAAACCAGGCCAGTCAGAACTAGTTCAAACCAGAATTTCCAAACTGAGATGCTAACCGTAGTCAAATTAATTACAGAATTGATTCCAAAGGCTTGTTCCATCGTAAAAACTCCTAGTTATAGCTAAAAGAAATATTTCAAAGGACCTACAACCAGACACTCATAAACGAATTTCTAGATTGATTGTTAAGTCTTGGAAGAAGTGGATTGAGTGAACGTTATTTGAGAGGAAATACTCAAAGTTTGGAATTTTTTAGCCACCGCAATCAAACTTATTCATCCAACAAGGCATCATGCTTATCAAAGAACATAATAGCACATTTCTGATACAAATCTGAGCACTTCACAGACTACACGAATCAAAGCCCATTATCAGACGTGCTATAACTGAAATTCAAGAACATGTGAAACAGATATATCACATTCAACATTACAATTTTGGCATTATACTCTAGAATACCAAATACACGTATCAGTATCTACCTTAAGGGAAGTTCCTTTGGATTTTAAGGGTGAAGGAATAAATGAAGAAACACAGGAAAAAGAAGAACCAAATTTGGCAGTCACCATCTTTGATTTCCCCTCTTTACGAGCACAACCACAAAAACAGTGAGCTTAAAAATCACTTGGTCAATCTATACTTTAACAACGAACTACCACCAGGATGAATTACTGGAGAAAAACCCATTTGGAATCAAGTTAATAGGGAGCATTAAAGGCCAAAAAATGAAGGAGAATTGGAGAATATAAAATTGAGAATGGCAGTAAATTCGGAGATTCTGAGGTATGGGTTATGATAACTTCAGGAGGGAAACCAGAAGCGAAGAAGAAGACGGGAAATAAAAGAACGAAAGCGGTGGCTTGCCTCGTCATTGTTCATTTATTTATTTATTTTCCTCACTATTTTTAGTTATCATCTACAAGCAGTTTTTTTTTTTGTGTGGGTGAAGGCGTGAAGTGAGAGCGCTATTGCGGATGAAAATACCCAAGTACTCCCTTCAATTTTATTATAAGGCATTTTGAGCTAAATTTCATCTAATATATTTCTTGAATTGAAAAAAAAAAAAAAACCTTCACACTATATTTTTATTATAAAATAATATAAGAACGACAAAGAAAGAATAAGAGAAAGAATTGATCTGTTAATCTGTATATTATTTCTATAGAGACAAATCTCTTTTATAGATAAAGTATACAAGGATAAAAAATAAGGAGCGAATGAGGAGTTGGTTCAGTTGTAAAACTACCCTTGCTCCAAAATAAGGTCATGAGTTCAACCCCCCACTCCAACAAAAAGTAAGGAGTTGGCTCTCAGCTTGCCTATTGGTACATCTAGAGACTTGTTATGGCTAACCAACTAATGAATCCCTGATTTCGCACTCAAGCTTGTCACCCCGGGTTTGTCTAAGGTGGGAGGTGGCTAACCCACTAATGAACTCCTGATTTCGCACTCGAGTTTGTCACCTTGGGTTTGTCTAACGTGGTTTACCTCCCGCTGTTGTTTGTAGGCTATTGCAGTGGGTGTGGGTTCACCCGTCTCTGGTGGGATTCCCGACGTTACCCAAAAAAAAAAGAAGATAAAAATAAGAAAAATATGAGACCTAACTAAATACTATCTCTATACATTGATTCCTTATATAACTATTCTAGTTGTGGACATGCACATTAATAAATATTTATAACACTCCTCCTTAGATGTTCATTTCTTGGGCTAATGTCTCGATAAAACCTTTACTTAAAAAAAAACCTAGTAGGATAAAAATCTAGTAAAAGAAAAAGAGTGCTCTTGGATTTTAAGGAATCATAACATAATTGAAACAGAAATCATCAGATTTAGAAAACAAAACTGATACTGCAAAATAAGGAAAAGACTCAAAATCTCATTAATTAGGAAATAAGGAACGAGTCCTATATATACAAGATTTCTTGATGGATGGTTTTCTACATCTAGGAAACTACTAGGCAATTTCCAGCATTAGCAGATAAAATTTTGCCAGCTCATTAAGCTGCAATCTCCTGCATTCGATAATTAGCGTATTCCTGTACTCCCTGAGTTGATGCAGGTTTGATCCTTGCGGTTGAAGCCAACTAGGAGTTTATTGAAAAAATCGAAGTGAAGAGTGGTTTAGTGAAAAAATTTTCCAATCGAAGTGAAGAGGAGACATGTAATGGCAACAGCAATCCTAGTTTATATTGGTCTCGAACCACATGATAATTTCTATGTGCTTCGTTCTCTCATGAAATACAGGATATGCAACAATGTCCAAAGCAGCTTTGTTGTCACAAAAAAAAGGTACTGGCAGTGGAGGCAAAATATTGAAATCTTTCAGTATATAGAAGATCCATTGAAGTTCCCTGGTTGCCATTGCCATGGATCTGTACTCAGCTTCTGCTAAGGAGCAAGAGATTGTTCCTTGTTTCTTCGTTTTCCAGTTGATCAAGTTGTCCCTAATGAATACACAAGTGGCCTTGACGTTCTGCATGATCCCCAGTCTGAATCACTGTAAACTCTGAGGGAGAGAGAAGATTTTGAAGGATAAAACAAAACTTGACCAATTGTGCCTGACAAATATCTGAGAACATGATGAGCAGCATTCCAGTGTGATGAATGTGGTTTCTAAACATGTTGACTTAGTTGCTGCACTGCGTAAGTAATATCTGGTCTGGTGTAATTAAGGTATAAGAGTCGGCCAATTAGCCTTCTATACTGCATTGGATCAGAATGAAGGGGTGTTTGGTCTTTGTCTTCTGAAACAAATTGTAAGCCTGGTGGAAAAGGTGTTGAAGTAGGAGTGCTATCAAGAACTCTAGCTGAAGCAAGAAGATCCATGATATACTTGCATTGATGAATATAAATACCAGCTGTTGATCGTGCTATTTACATGCCAAGGAAATATTTGGCATGTCCCAAATCCTTTATGGTAAAAAGACCATGAAGGTATACTTTGATTTTGGCAATCTCTGAGGGATGTGTTCCAGTGATTAGAACATCATCCACATAGACCAGAAGGAAACTTTGGTGCTGATCAGTGATGTATGTGAACAAACAAGGATCACTATAAGATTGCTTAAAAACATAACTAACCAACTTGGCAGAAAATTCTTGATTCCATTGCCTTGAAGCCTACTTCAATCCATACGGTGACTTCTTGAGTTTACAAACCTATCCAGGTTGAATTTTATCATATCTTAATGGTGGCAACATATACACATCTTCCAAACTTCCATGCAAAAAAACATTGTTTACATCTAATAGATGGTCTGATCAACCCTTTGCAGATGCTATGGCAAAGACAATTCAAACTGTAACCACCTTGGCAACAAGTGAAAAAACTTCACAAAAATCTTCTCCCTCAACCTGAGTATAACGTTTTGCTACAAGCCTTGCCTTATATCTATCTATTGTTCCATCTGCATTCCTTTTGATCTTGTACACCTATTTTGATCCAACTGGTTTCTTTCCAACAGGCAGAGTAGTTAATTCCCAAGTGTCATTAGATTCCAATGCTGCCAATTCATTTTTCATAGTCTCAACCCACTTTAAATTTGTCCTGGCTTGATTATAAGTACTTGGCTCAGATTGAATCAGACATGTTTGCAATAAAAGAATCATATGCAGGTGTGGGAAGAAATGATGCAACACTGGAAGATGTAATGCAAACAAAGGAAGTATCATAATCAGCCATCCAAACTGGTGGATACCTGTTCCTTGTGCTAACTCTAGGGACAGGATCCAATGATGTATTTACTGGAGAATCAGAGGTAGATATAGAGGTATGTATGAATACAGGAGAACTGATATTATAGGTGAGGTGGAATGATCAAGTGAAGTGGAAGGATTGTCATCAAAATGATGAAAGAGAGTAGAATCTGATGAAGGATCATTATCACAGTTGTATAAAACTGATTGATCAGGATAAGGATTTGATGGCTGACCTTGGGATGTTGAAGGATATACATCCTCATGAAATACTACATCCCTGGAAATGATCGTCTTATGTAAAGAGGAGACATAAATTTTATATCCTTTCTGAGAATGTGGATATCCAATAAAAATCCTTCAAAGGATCAAGGATCAAGCTCGTCTTTGTTGGGACCATTATCTAAGGCATAGGCTCTACAAGCAAAGTTTCTAAGGATTGACAAATCAGGTATAACACCATAAAAAATTTCAAAAAGGGATTTCTAGTTGAGAAGAGCTGTTGGAAGTCTATTGATAATGAAAGTAGCTGTAAGTAAAGCATCTCCCCAAAAGAATTTTGGTAACTTTGACTGCAAGAGGAGTGATCTTGCAACCTGTAGTAAATGTCGTTGTTTACGTTCTACCACACCATTTTGTTGTGGTGTGTAGATACATGATCTTTGATGTAAAATACCAAGATCATTGAACAATTGAGTACAATTCTGATTAATGAATTCTGTACCATTATCAGTTCGAATTTTCTTAACCTTAGTTTCAAATTGAGTGTGGACCATGCTGAAAACTTGAGAAATCTGTGAGGGAACTTGGCTTTTATGTTGAACAAGTAATGTCCATGTGTTACAACTATAATCATCCACAATGGTTAGGAAATATTGACAGTTGGTAAGGGATTTCACCTTGTAAGGCCCCCAAACATCTAGATGCAGTAATTCAAACACTTGTTTAAACTGAATATATCTAACTGAAGATACAATTCTGGTCCGTTTTGATAATGGACAGATATTGCATAGCTCTAATATAGGTTTATTAGAAGATAAGGAGGTACAAAGACTTCTATCTGAATCAAACTAACTTTTGCATTACAAGGAATGATGGATGAGCTAATCTTTAATGCAATAAATTTGGAGAGATAACAATGGTACAGGCACTGTGAAGAAACTGTGATTCTTGAAGCTTGGAGGTGGAGGCTTGAATATGTAATAGATGTGAAGCATAGAGTTCTTGTGAATGGAGAATTGTTTGTGACGTGTCTTCTTTCATCCAAGATGTACAGCTCCTTAACAACTCTACCAGCTACAAGGACCCTTCCTGTACTAAGGTCTTGCAGTAAACAAAAATCAGCAAAAAACTTAAAGAAAAAACTTGTTGTTTTTGCAAGCTTCCTGACTGACAAAAGATTGTATTTAAAACCAAGAACATGCATACAACAGGTCAAGGCGAGTGTTTCGGAGATGGTAACATCACAAAGTGAGTCACATGCTTAATGCTACCATCAGGGAGTAGGATTGTAGTAATGATGTTTGATGATCTATTATTATGCATTCAAGAAAGGTTATTACACATGTGTTCTGTTGCACCCGTGTCTGTCACCCAAGCTTTAGGACTTATGTAATCGGAGACAAAGGAACTAAATTTAGAGTAAGATGCACTACTTGAAATATCATGAAAGTGAGCCATATTCACTTTGTGGCTTTCAACAGGTTCTGTAACTCTTTTTCCTTTTAACATGCGATCCAACTCCAGCTGCATTGTTGTAATCATGGACTGAAGTTGATCTGAATTACTAGTGCTCACATATAAAGGAGAATTCAAGTGATTAGTTGAAGTCAATATTGGCACATCCACCATATGAGCTGATCCAAACCTGCTTCCTATTTCCTGAGATTTCTTGGATGGCCAACACTCTGGAAACCCTTTCAGCTTGAAATAGTCGCACTACAAGAAAATGAGCCATTTACCACACAATTACACACGGAAGTCTCATTCGTGTTTAAATTACTACGACTTACACACGAATTAACCACAGAAACCACATAAAAAATTTTATCTACGAAATAATCACGAAATATCCACAACTTTACACACAGAAATATGTAGTCATGGTTAATCCGTGGTTATGCAATTCGTTACCCACGAATTAAACACAAAAAATTCCTTGGATAATGAGTCTGTGGTTAATCCGTAGGCAAGATAATAATTAACCATGGATTGTTCACAAAATCTTCCGTGTTTAATATTTCCGTGGTTATATCCGGGGTTAA